AGTTTATATCCATTCGTTCTCGTGTCTACATTAGTACTGAGCTGAAATAATTCCTCTCCCTCCCTGGTATTTATTCCTCTAATATATTTAAAGAGAGCAATCATCCTTCCTCCCTGGAGTCCAGAACACTCTGGCGGACCGTCTCAGCAGATCCTTCCAGACGCACGAGTGGTCAATTCGCCTGGACATCATCTATTCCATCTTCCAGAGGTGGGAATTTCTCCAGGTCGACCTGTTCGCATCTCGAGCCAACAGGAACTGCCACGAGTTCTGCTTCCTTCAAGGGCGATCTCCGGGCTCCCTCTCTGACACCTTCCTTCTAACGTGGAAGGGCCAGCTGTTCTATGCTTTCCCTCCGTTCCCACTGGTCCACAGGGTACTGCTCAAGCTACGCAGAGACCAGGCACGTATGATTCTAGTCGCTCCAGCTTGGCCGAGACAGCACTGGTACACCACGCTTCTGGAGCAATCGATTCAGACTCCAATCATTCTTCCTTTGTGCCCAGACTTGATCTCCCAGGACCACGGTCGATTGTGTCACCCCGACCTGCAATCACTCCACCTTACAGGGTGGATGCTCCATGGCTGAATCGGACAGAACTGCAATGCTCACATCCCGTGCAACAGATTCTGCTGGGAAGTAGAAAGCCCTCTACGCGGACCACCTACTTGGCCAAGTGGAAGCGGCTCTCCTGTTGGTGCGAACAGTGGGCCACGCCCCCTCTGGAGGCGTCTATTCCCCTCATACTCGAGTATCTCCTGTCCTTGAGACAGCAGAGCTTGGCGATATCGTCAGTCAGAGTTCACCTGGCCGCTATATCGGCGTTCCACCCAGGAGAACACGCTTCCTCGGTCTTCTCTAACCCGATGGTTGTCAGATTCCTCAACGGCTTAGAGCGGTTATACCCACACAGCGCCAACCTGTTCCGGCATGGGATCTTAACCTGGTTCTCTCCAAGCTCACAGGGCCCCCGTTCGAGCCATTGACTACCTGCTCACTCCTTTACCTATCTTGGAAGACAGTCTTCCTTGTAGCCATCACTTCAGCAAGGCGTGTTTCTGAACTCAGGGTGCTCACGTCTGAGCCTCCGTATACAGTCTTCCATAAAGACAAGGTGCAGCTTCACCCCCACCCTGCCTTTCTTCCCAAGGTGGTTTCAGCTTTTCATGTGAACCAGGATATATTCCTCCCGGTCTTCCATCCTAAGCCGCATGCCACGCGTCAAGACCAGCGTATGCACTCCTTGGATGTGCACAGGGCCCTTGCTTTCTATATTGAACGTACGAAACCATTCCGAAAGACGACGCAACTTTTCGTTGCAGTAGCCGACCGGATGAAGGGCCTACCGGTCTCCACTCAAGGTCTCTCCTCTTGGATCACGTCATACATTCGTGCTTGTAACGACCTGGCCGGTGTCCCGACTCCGCGCCTCACCGCTCACTCCACGAGGGCCCAGGACTCCTCGACTGCCTTCCTGGCTCAAGTTCCGATCCAGGACATTTGTAGAGCTGCAGTTTGGCCATCATTCCACACCTTCGCCGCTCACTACACGCTTGTACAGCAATCCAGGGATGATGCTGCATTCGGATCAGCGGTTTTGCACACAGCAATGTCTCACTCCAACCCCACCGCCTAGGTAAGGCTTGGTAGTCACCTAATTGGAATCGATATGAGCAAGCACTCGAAGAAGAAAAAACGGTTACTCACCTTTGTAACTGTTGTTCTTCGAGATGTGTTGCTCATATCCATTCCAAACCCGCCCCCCGTCCCCACTGTCGGAGTAGCCGGCAAGAAGTAACTGAGGGGGCGTTGGGTCGGCTGGGGTGTATATTCAGCACCATAAAGGCGCCACTCCAGGGTGCTCCACAGCCGACCCACCGGGTGTTGTTAGGGTAGAAAACTTCTCCGACGATCGTGCACGCGGCACACGCACACCTAATTGGAATGGATATGAGCAACACGTCTCGAAGAACAACAGTTACAAAGGTGAGTAACCGTCTTTTCTCTCTTACTACCCTCTGATGCCTCCTGGCTGCTCTAGGCAAGGTGGGGTGGGACTCTGTTAACATGTGCCTCCCGGAGCTTCCATTTACCTGGTGCTGCTGTTCCGTGAATAGTGGGGTTGTAACTGGGGCAGCAGGTACTGAGTGTTGGACTCTTTCTCTTTCAGGGGCCGGTGACTTTCGAGGAGGTGGCTGTGTATTTCACCAGGGAAGAGTGGGCTCTGCTGCACCCCACTCACAGAGCCCTCTACAGGGATGTCATGCAGGAGAACTATGAGAATGTGACCTCGCTGGGTAAGGATTCCTGTCCCCTCAGTTATTAGATGCTGTGGGGTCTCTAAAGAACCTGAGTAGTAATAACTTTATATCTTTATTCATCATACAAATTTTGACAAGTTTCCTTGCCCCCCTTTTTTTTGCCTTATCTCCCACCCACTAGTATAATTTTTGGTCATGTGCCTTTTTGGTGTTATCGGTCATTTTAAAATTGCATTTCATGTATCATTATTGGATACATTAATATCTACATTAAGAACTGTAGCTTTCATGCCTTTTCCACATTTTAAGAGGAAAATACGCTGCCTGTAGAATTCTAAATTAAGTAAATAGTGTAGGACTCATGCATGGCTTGTGTGACAGTCAGATGAGCTCCTCTTTTGATAGGAGAGCGTATAATGTTGCCATTCAGGACCCCACAGGTGAAGGGAGAAGAGAGCTGTGGGAGGGGAGGAGAAGGGGGGGAGCAGATAATTCTGGGGTGCCAGGACATGGGGAGGGTGTGTATAGGATTAGAGCTAAGAAGCAGCAGGGAGGGATGAGGTAGTGAGAGATGAGGAGGGAACACGAGAAGTTCCCATGGTGCCGGGAGGTGGTGCCGGCTGAGAGTAATGGGACGAAGGGGAGGGGGAGTGTGTAGGAAGGGCACCCAGGAAGTGGGCTGGGTGGGTCAGTGGGAGGGAGGAGAGGTTTGGGGATCTAGAGCTTGGGGGATCCCAGACCTTTAACCCCGAATCCCTATCCAAGCCTTGTTGCTTTAGAACCTACACTACAGTTTTATTTCTGTTCAGTTTCACTTAATCGTACATTTCCCCCCCAAATATTATTATTTTAACTCTTGACCTCCCTCTCCCACTCATTACCCCCTCCCCATATAAACTCCCCATCTCTATGCACAGCGACCGTGGCCAACCATCCTGAGTTCTTGCTGTATTCCTTCCTTCCGTACCAGGGCCCCTACCCAGGCACAAATGGGGACTTGGTTGATGATTTCACAGGGTGGTAGTGTAGCCTGTACACATTTTACACCTATAAGATTACGAATTGGGGTACAAGTTGTCCTTGTAGATGGCTACTCCAAGTTAATGGAGGAGATGAAATTTGGTGAAACACACAGAACTTGATTTAATACAGACAGTTATAATTGAAATCATAGGCAAAAATCAATACACGTAACGATTAGATTAAGATAAGTACAGTAAAGAGGGTCTTGCACTGTGCATACTTACAAATTATGGACACCATTGGAAACAAAGATGGAGGGGCAAGGGCAACCATCAGAAGGGAGGCCCTGCTTCAGTTTACACTGTCACGGGGACCCGACAAAATGAAAAAATGGTAACTAGGAGAGGTATTTTATCCGCTTTCTTAGGGTAATAGGATGGCTATATACGATATCAGCACCTTTACTCTGATTACAATAACGTCAACAGCTGCCCCAAACCATATGTGTCCTTTGGGAAGTCCATAATTATTCATCAAGCATTAATACTCATGATTTACATCACTTTATTAATAATTCCAATATACGAATGCAGTCCAACTGCTGAGATTCTTCATAGCAACCTAATTGCTGAAGCCCGCCCCAAACTTCCTTCTTTCAGAATCCTGTAGCGTATTGCACCTGTTTGCGGTTCCTCGTTAGTCTCTCAAAATGGGGGTGCAAAATAGCTGACCTGGGATTCTCTCCTTAGGCCTATTCAGGTACATTCCAGACTTCAGCATAACTACTCCCACAGAGCCTCAACCTAATAGAAGACCCTTTATTGTAGCAAGCTTAGGCTATGTCTACACTACTGCGGTAAGTCAACCTATGAACCTTAGGTACAGTTACCGCAGGGTCTACTTACCTTACTCTTCTCGTCAGGGTAGAGTACAGGGTTCGACTGCAGAGACATCTGTAGTCGATTTGGTGGGTCTTTACTAGACCCACTATATCGACCACCGGTGGATCGATCTCAGAGCTTTAATCCCAGCTGTAGTGTAGTCCCTGCCCTTAATAACCCATTTATCTATGTTCACCTCCTTGCCCCTCCACGCATGTTCCAAGCTAATAAGCAATACTCTGAGAATGACATTTTACCTCTAGCAAGTATAAAATTGCCCACAAGACATGAGACTAGGTCATAGATCATAAAATCAGGTCGGGGTCAGCAGGAGTGAGAGTTTGGAGAGAGTCTTGTCCCCCCTCTCCCCATATGCAGCAGCCACAAGCTGTTTTCCCTCCAGGCTCCTTGGATCTTTGAGCCTGTCCCTCCTAGGTTGCATGGCCCAGTTCTTGTTTCTTACATTCTCCTTTTCTGGAAGTATTAGAGGCTGTTGCTCCTGAATTTTAGGGTTTAATTCCCCAGCCTTCTCCACACGCTGGGGAAGTTTAATTCTCCCTCCCATTACACCTGAGTCACTCGATTTCTTAATACCCCAAAATGTGCTTTTGCGATGTCACAGTTCTGGGATAGCTAAGCCTTTAACCTGCCTCCGCGGTCTGCTCAAGAAATGTGCTCTCCTGTATCAGGCCTCTAGCCAGCCCCTCTCTATGGGTGGGGACCCACGTGCCTCTCCTTTTTGACTAAGGTGTGAGGATTGCAGCTTGTCCTCCACTGTGTTCACTGGAATAAGCTCCCGCTCCTGTGCTTTGCTCTCTCTCCAAGGGCTGTGAGCAGTGTGTGTGTGTGTGTGTGTGTGTGTGTGTGTGTGAGATAGAGGTGGGAATTTTGGTGATACTTGTATGGTGCCAATACACACCTCAGTTTCCCTCTGTGATGGGGATTGCTATGATTATAAAGAGCAGGAGACCTGAGGTGTTCTGTCACATAGCTGTTATGGGGTGATATGAATGGGTTATTAAGGACTGGCTGGGACCAGCCTACATCAATGGAATACCCAACGGAGACAAGGGAATAATTATTACCTGTCCATGGGAGGATATCTGTTTGGCTGAGTGAAGCATACATGGACTCATTATGTTTTTGGGAGCCGGAAGAACTGGGCTCGCAGACAC